AGAGTCGGTCTTGGGGGTGTAGGTTCTGGAGAGAGTCGGTCTAGGGGGAGTAGGCTCTGGAGAGAGTCGGTGTAGGGGGAGAAGGTTCTGGAGAGGCTCTGGAGAGAGTCGGTCTAGGGGGAGTAGGCTTTAAAGAGAGTCGGTCTAGGGGGAGACGGTCTCAGGGAGAGTCTGTCTAGGTGCAATGGTTCTGGAGACAGTCGGTCTAGGGGGAGTAGTTCTCAGCGAGAGTCGGTTTAGGGGGACTGAGTCGTATGGAGAGTCAGTCTAGGGGCAGAAGGTTCTGGAGAGAGTCAGTCTAGGGGGAGTAGGACTCAGGGAGAGTCGGTCTAGGGGGAATAGGTTCTGGAGAAAGTCGGTCTAGGGGGAGTAGGTTCTGGAGAGGCTCTAGAAAGAGTCGGTTTTGGGGGAGTAGGCTCTGTCCAGTCGGTCTAGGGGGAGTAGGTTCTGGAGAGAGTCGGTCTATGGGGAGTAGGCCCTGAAGAGAGTCGGTCTTGGGGGAGACGGTCTCAGGGAGAGTCTGTCTAGGGGAAATAGGTCTCAGGGAGAGTCGGTCTAGGGGGAGTAATTCGTAGGGAGAGTCGGTCTAGGGGGAATAGGTCCTGAAGAGAGTCGGTCTAGGGGGAGGATGTCGCACGGAGAGTCGGTCTAGGGGGAGTAGGTCTCAGGGAGAGTCAGTCTAGGGGTAGTAAGCTCTGGAGAGAGTCAGTCTAGAGGGAATAGGCTTTGGTAAGAGTCCGTCTAGGGGGAGTAGGTTCTGGAGAGAGTATGTCTAGGGGGAGTAGGCCCTGGAGAGAGTCGGTCTAGGGGGAGTAGGCCTTGGAGAGAGTCGGTCTAGGGGGAGAAGGTCTAAGGGAGAGTCGGTCAAGGGGAGCAGGTCTCATGGCGAGTCGGTCTATGGGGAGTAGGTTCTGGAGAGAGTCGGTCTTGGGGGTGTAGGTTCTGAAGAGAGTCGGTCTAGGGGGAGTAGGTTCTGGAGAGAGTAGGTCTAGGGGGAGTAGGCCCTAGAGAGAGTCGGTCTAGGGGGAGTAGGCCCTGGAGAGAGTCGGTCTTGGGGGAGACGGTCTCAGGGACAGTCAGTCAAGGGGGAGTAGGTCTCAGGGAGAGTCGGTCTAGGGGGAGTAGGCCCTGGAGAGGGTCGGTCTTGGGGGAGACGGTCTCAGGGACAGTCTGTCTAGGGGGAGTAGGTCTCAGGGAAAGTCTGTCGATGGGGATTAGGTCTCAGGGAAAGTCGGTCTAGGAGGAATAGGTCCTGAAGAGAGTCGGTCTAGGGGGACTAGGTCGCATGGAGAGTCGGTCTAGGTGGAGAAGGTCTAAGGGAGAGTCGGTCTAGAGGAGCAGGTCTCACTGAGAGTCGGTCTAGAGGCAGTAGGTTCTGGAGACAGTCGGTCTAGGGGGAGTAGGTCTCAGGGAGAGTCGGTCTAGGGGGAGTAGGTCTTATGTAGATGTAATGATTAGGAGAGCTTATTCGTTCTCTTTAAATCAATATGAGATTAAAATATAATTGTATTTTCAACTGATTAGAATATTGAAGTTATAAAATTAGGTCTTTCAAAAAAAAAACCATTAAAGTCAAAACAGGGCCAAAGTGTAGTAATATATGACGGTTAGTAAAAGACTGATGAATTTCATCTCCAATTTTCTTCATTTTACATAGATAACTAATATTTTTTCTCTCTACAAATATCATAAAAAATAATTATCGTGCAACACGAAGGCTAAAAATTTTGTAAATCATGCCTGCAGCCTGGATACACGTGCTGTCACGTGACATGTATTGGCGATGTTGACGTGACCTATGTAATAGGATTTGGATCCAAATTTCCGTGCAAAGCCTTTACAATAAACACTCGTAAGGATTAGTCTACATAAACACAAGACATAAACTGTTTATCGATTTCCCGATGTGACCTGTATCTCTGTAAATCGAACATGTCCTCATGACATGTAGTTGTGTACACTTTTGGCCTATGTTCATGCATATCATATCAATGCATATTCCCTACGTATGATTATTTGATTTTAGTCTCCCTGCATCCAGAGTGCATTACTGTTGAACTGAACGTGTGTTTTTCACGAATTTGGCAGAATATTAAAAGAATTTTTTCACAAGTGTTATTTTGCGTGTTTGCATTGAAATTAGCGTTTGCACAATTGGCTACGGTCACGTGATGATCAGTGCCCACGGGAGACAACACCGAATGGAAAGAGCTGATGGTAAGTAATTGAAGAAAATGAGAATATCTACAGCCACAGAAAGAACAACAGACTAATTTGGGTTTCTTCAGTCTCTCTCTCTCTCTCTCTCTCTCTCTCTCTCTCTCTCTCTCTCTCTCTCTCTCTCTCTCTCTCTCTCTCTCTCTCTCTCTCTCTCTCTCTCTCTCTCTCTCTCTCTCTCTCTCTCTCTTTATTGAAGATAAGTTAGTAAAATTGAAGCGGATAAAAGAAAATAATAAATTTTGTCTATTACACGTTTATTTTACCATAGTTTGTTCTGGTTGAATGCATTGAATAGAAAAAATCCCCTTGATTGGCCAATAATAAGCGCCGTCATTACAATTTGAAGGGAAGCGTTGATGTGCTGTATGCGTTTCAAATATCGCAAGAATCTTACTTGACCTTTCCTTGGTTTTGGATACATCTGAGAACATTTTTTTCACTTTTTATTTTAACCGATTTCAAAAAAAAATACTGAAGACGTGACATGTTCTCGGATTAGCACTTGTCCAAACAGAGAGTGTGGATTACACACTGTAGGTCGCGACATGCGTATGCCTAGTCTCCGACTATTTCCGGAATACCCTGCTTCCGAATGATCATAGCTCATTTGCCTTACAGGTTCAATTAAGAAGCGTACAAACTGAACGGAATTGACGTATTTCATGGAAAATATTCCGTTGCATCATATTGTACTTCAAAAAGACACCCAATGCGGTTTCTTACACAATCTATGCATTCCTTTTTTCTCTCCTTTACGCTTTCCTCCGTGTTTACCTTTGTGCGTTCATATGTTTATTTTCGTATTTACCTCCTCTTTCCACCGTGTTTTCTTCTTTATTCCCCACGTGCTCCCTATTATCAACACCATAATGTCGGGGTTGTCATGTAAACATCTACATTATCACACTTTTCTTATACCTTGAGTTTTCGGACCAAACATTTGTCGATGTTTTTGAATCTCTACCACTTTACCAGGAAACAAATATGCACTGTAGGAGACAACGTTCATCTTTTAACGTTACACAATGTGTTATCTTTTGATTTTCGTGCCAAAAATAGATAAACAATAAACAAAAATAATCAATAAACAAACGAACAAATACTGTATGAAAGAGCGGAGGAGTAAACGAACGATCGATCGATCGAGCGAGGGAGCGAGCGAGCGAGCGAACGAACGAACAAGCAAACGAGCAAACGAAACACAGATAATCATCATCTCCTTAATTGTGCTTGTATAAACACAGTATCCGATGTTAAAATTACCATTTATCTGTTATCTCTCAGCTGTTCTGATATTTAGATATAATACGTAATTTATATTTATTATTTCAAGTAGAGCGGGTATGCAGATCGATACATGATATGAAAGAAATGATCTGTGATTATCATTGCCATGGAAACCGTTGTATATCATCTCTTTCCCAAGGTTTGTAACCACTGGATATTGGATTTCCATGTCTGTTACCTGGAACTCCCACTTAGCCGTCGATTCTATCCAATATGCAACAGTTCCATCCTTATAACGCGACATTCCGATAATACCATTCGTGTTTCCGAACTAATACGCTCATTTTTACTCGAAAAATGTACATGTAACATCTATCATAACGCAGCACGTGTTTACGTAACACTCCATGACAATCACGACACATGTTGAGGTACACTCTATGACAACCCAGACGCGTGGTTACGTAACACTATGACAACCACGACACGTGTTAACGTAACACTCCATGACAACCACGACATATGTTTACTTAACACTCCATGATATCCCCGATACGTGTTAACGTAACGCTTCATGACAACCCCGACATCTGTATACGTAACACTCCATGTTAACCCCACTACGTGTTTACGTAACGCTTCATGACAACCCCGACACGTGTTAACGTAACACTCCATGAGAACCCCGACACGTTTTAACGTAACACTCCATGAGAACCCCAACATCTGTATACGTAACACTCCATGAGAACCCCGACATCTGTATACGTAACACTCCATGACAACCCCGACATCTATATATCTAACACTCCATGGGAACCCTGACATCTGTATACGTAACACTCCATGAGAACCCCGACACGGTGTATACGTAACACTCCATGAGAACCCCGACATCTGTATACGTAACACTCCATGAGAACCCCGACACGTGTTAACGTAACACTCTATGAGAACCCCGACATCTATGAGAACCCCGACATCTGTATAGGTAACATTCTTTCACATCCATGATGTCAAGACTCACGCATGTGGTTATATTTCTTCAAAATCCAGACACGTGCGTGTTTTATTTCATTTCGGAACTGTATATGAATAGAACAAATGAATTCCTATGTGTACTGTTTTTACCTGGCCATTTTAAACCAGTTCACGTGTTTTTAAGATTGTTGCTCGATAGCCCTTGACACCAACGCTATTACCGACGATGGCCCTTACATGTGAAGCACGCTCTGATAATCATGAGCGACACTTGTGAAATAGTCGGCACCACCAGGCCAAATGTCATAACAGGACCATTGTCAACATCTGTAATTTTAACAATTGATAAGCCATGCTACCATTTATATGTTTCTTTGCTCTAAAACGACTGCGACAAAATCTTGCGTTAACCCACAGCATGGCATCTTTAGTTCTAGTATGTACGTGCGTAATTTAACCGTCGGAAAGATGACAGTTATTTATATAATGTGTGAGGCGACAGTGTCGTACAGTGCAGGTGCGACGTCAGTTTAAATAAAGTTATAAAATTGATTGAAAAATAAATCACTCACCTGTCGTAAAGAGAGGTTATCCGGAGTAATACAATTCTTGCCCTCAGAACTAAAACTGAAGGACACACTTTTACATGGCGAAGGTTGAGGGGTGAGGTAAGTCCGGGTTCCGGGAGGAAAGTTCAGGTTAGGGGAGTGACATTGGGCCCCTTGTTGAAGAACCGTAGGGGCCGAACCCCTCCTTGTCGATCCTTTACTGCTCGACCTTCGACGGTTTTTCCGTACTACTGTCCCCGTCCGGGTAAGCATATCCGCTGCTTCCGGACAAAAGACACGTTGAAAAAACAAGCACACACTTCTGGTGACACAGAATAGGTTCCACTCTGTTCAGCATTGAACGAGTGTCATGTTTCTGCTGATGTTGTTTATTTGTTTATACTGACCATTGAAGTAAACATGATTCGATTTTCCTCCTGACTCCAACAAGAGACGGCACACACATATTTGAAAAAAAAATGTAATTAATCAGCATCAACATTTTATAATGGAGCCACTTGGTAAAATCAAAGAAAATTCTCAGAACCTTCTGTCAGGGCACTGGTCGCAGAGATACCTCAGCATACCACATAGTGCTGACACGCGGGACCGTTCTCAACGATCAATTGCCGTGTGTGGAGTATTGGCGACGCGCTTGTCACTTCAGAGACAGCGGCGTCAAGGTGGGCGAAGCGGCTATCGGAAGTTATTTTACCAGAGTATCAGAGTCACTTAACCAGGGCGGGTGTATTACTATCACTTCAGTGTGACGGATATATCGTTGTCACAACACCGCGATATGTATGTCATAGTCACTACTCCGTGACACGTATGTCATAGTCACCACACCGTGACATATATGTCAAAGTCACTACACCGTGACGTTTATATCACAATCACTACACCATGACGGTATATCATTGTCACCACACCATGACGGTATATAATTGTCATCACACCGTGATATGTATGTCATAGTCACTACTCCATGACACGTATGTAACAGTCACCGCACCGTGACATATATGTCAAAGTCACTACACCGTGAGGGAATATCATTGTCATCACACCATGAGGTAATATCATTGTCACCACACCGTGAGATAGTATCATTGTCATCACACCGTGAGATAATATCATTGTCATCACACCGTGAGATAATATCATTGTCATCACACCGTGAGGTAATATCATTGTCACCACACCATGAGGTAATATCATTGTCATCACACCGTGAGATAATATCATTGTCACCACACCATGAGGTAATATCATTGTCACCACACCGTGAAATAGTATCATTGTCATCACACCGTGAGGTAATATCATTGTCACCACACCGTGAGGTAATATCATTGTCACCACACCGTGAAGTAATATCATTGTCACCACACCGTGAGGTAATATCATTGTCACCACACCGTGAGGTAATATCATTGTCACCACACCGTGAGGTAATATCATTGTCACCACACCGTGAGGTAATATCATTGTCACCACACCGTGAAGTAATATCATTGTCATCACACCGTGAAGTAATATCATTGTCACCACACCGTGAGGTAATATCATTGTCACCACACCGTGAAATAGTATCATTGTCACCACACCGTGAAATAGTATCATTGTCATCACACCGTGAGGTAATATCATTGTCACCACACCGTGAGGTAATATCATTGTCACCACACCATGAGGTAATATCATTGTCATCACACCGTGAGGTAATATCATTGTCACCACACCATGAGGTAATATCATTGTCACCACACCATGAGGTAATATCATTGTCACCACACCATGAGGTAATATCATTGTCACCACACCATGAGGTAATATCATTGTCACCACACCGTGAGGTAATATCATTGTCACCACACCATGAGGTAATATCATTGTCACCACACCATGAGGTAATATCATTGTCATCACACCGTGAGGTAATATCATTGTCACCACACCATGAGGTAATATCATTGTCACCACACCATGAAGTAATATCATTGTCATCACACCGTGAGATAATATCATTGTCACCACACCGTGAAGTAATATCATTGTCACCACACCGTGAGGTGAAATCATTGTCACCACACCGTGAGGTAATATCATTGTCACCACACCGTGAGGTAATATCATTGTCACCACACCATGAGGTAATATCATTGTCACCACACCGTGAAGTAATATCATTGTCATCACACCGTGAAGTAATATCATTGTCACCACACCGTGAGGTAATATCATTGTCACCACACCGTGAAATAGTATCATTGTCACCACACCGTGAAATAGTATCATTGTCATCACACCGTGAGGTAATATCATTGTCACCACACCGTGAGGTAATATCATTGTCACCACACCGTGAGGTAATATCATTGTCACCACACCATGAGGTAATATCATTGTCACCACACCGTGAAATAGTATCATTGTCATCACACCGTGAGGTAATATCATTGTCACCACACCGTGCGATAATATCATTGTCATCACACCGTGAGGTGATATCATTGTCATCACACCGTGCGATAATATCATTGTCACCACACCGTGAGGTGATATCATTGTCATAACACCGTGAGATCATATCATTGTCATCACACCGTGAGATAATATCATTGTCATCACACCGTGAGATAATATCATTGTCACCACACCGTGAAGTAATATCACAATCACCACACCGTGAGGGAATATCACAATCACCACACCGTGAGGGAACATCACAATCACCACACCGTGATGGAATATCATTGTCATCACACCGTGAGGAAGTATCACAATCACCACACTGTGACAGATAGATCACTGTCACCACGCCACGACAGCATAATCTTTTATACAATCCGATATATCACCTGTATTACTCGGTATATCACCTATACTACCTGGTATATCACGTGTACTACTCGGTATATCACCTGTACTACTGGGTATATCACCTGTATATCACCTGTACTACTATATCACATGTTTATCACATGTACTACTCGGTATATCACATGTACTACCCGGTATATCACATGTACTACTCGGTATATCACCTATACTACCTGGTATATCACGTGTACTACTCGGTATATCACCTGTACTACTAGGTTTATCACCTGTACTACTCGGTATATCACCTTTACTACTCGGTATATCACCTGTACTACTGGGTATATCACCTGTACTACTGGGTATATCACCTGTAGTATATCACCTGTACTACTGGGTATATCACCTGTACTACTCGTACTACCCAGTATATCACCTGTACTACTCAGTATATCACCTGTACTACTGGGTATATCACCTTTACTACTAGGTATATCACCTGGTATATCACCTATACTACTCGGTATATCACCTGTACTACTCGGTATATCACCTGTACTACTTGGTATATCACCTGGTATATCACCTGTACTACTCGGTATATCACCTGTACTACTGGGTATATCACCTGTACTACTGGGTATATCACATGTACTACTGGGTATATCACCTTTACTACTGGGTATATCACCTGGTATATCACCTATACTACTCGGTATATCACCTGTACTACCCGGTATATCACCTGTAATACTAGGTTTATCACCTGCACTACTGGGTATATCACATGTACTACTGGGTATATCACCTTTACTACTAGGTATATCACCTGGTATATCACCTATACTACTCGGTATATCACCTATACTACTCGGTATATCACCTGTACTACTCGGTATATCACCTTTACTACTAGGTATATCACCTGGTATATCACCTATACTACTCGGTATATCACCTGTACTACTCGGTATATCACCTGTACTACTGGGTATATCACCTGTACTACTAGGTTTATTACCTGTACTACTCGGTATATCACCTTTACTACCCAATATATCACCTGTACTACTAGGTATATCATCTTTACTACCCAGTATATCACCTGTACTACTCGGTATATCACCTATACTACCCGGTATATCACCTGTACTACCCGGTATATCACCTGTACTACTCGGTATATCACCTATACTACCCGGTATATCACCTGTACTAACCGGTATATTACCTGTACTACCCAGTATATCACATGTACTACCCGGTATATCACCTGTACTACTATGTATATCACCTGTACTAATCGGTATATTACCTGTACTTCCCAGTATATCACATGTACTAACCGGTATATTACCTGTACTACCCAGTATATCACCTGTACTACTCAGTATATCACCTGTACTACTGGGTATATCACCTTTACTACTAGGTATATCACCTGGTATATCACCTTTACTACTCGGTATATCACCTGTACTACTGGGTATATCACCTGTACTACTGGGTATATCACCTGTAGTACTAGGTTTATCACCTGTACTACTCGGTATATCACCAGTACTAACCGGTATATTACATGTACTACCCAGAATATCACCTGTAGTACCCAGTATATCACCTGAGCTACTATGTATATCACCGGTACTACTAGGTTTATCACCTGTACTAACCGGTATATCACCTATACTAACCGTTATATCAGCTGTACTACCCGGTATATCACCTGTACTACTCGGTACATCACCTGTACTACTGGGTATATCACCTATACTAACCGGTATATCACCTGTACTACCAGGTATATCACCTGTACTACTCGGTATATCACCTATACTACCCGGTATATCACCTGTACTACTGGGTATATCACCTGTACTACCCGGTATATCACCTATACTAACCGGTATATCACCTGTACTACCAGGTATATCACCTGTACTACTCGGTATATCACCTGTACTACCCGGTATATCACCTGTACTACTCGGTATATCACCTATACTACCTGGTATATCACATGTACTACTCGGTATATCACCTGTACTACTGGGTATATCACCTCTACTACTCGGTATCTCACCTGTACTACTCGGTATATCACCTGTACTACTCAGTATATCACCTGTACTACCCAGTATATCACCTTTAATACTAGGTATATCACCTGGTATATCACCTGTACTACTCGGTATATCACCTGAACTACTATGTATATCACCGGTACTATCCAGTATATTACCTGTACTACTCGGTATATCACCTGTACTGCTCGGTATATCACCTGTACTACTGGGTATATCACCTGTAATACTCGGTATATCAACTGTACTACAAGGTTTATCACCTGTACTAACCGGTATATCACCTCTACTACCAGATATATATCACCTGTACTACCTGGTATATCACCTGTACTACTGGGTATATCACCTGTATTTCCCGGT